CCCTATTTTTTGTTCTGTCTTCTAGTGCCGCATCTCTTTCTCAATCCCACTACATATAGCTCATCTACCTTTTCACACTATTCTGTGCTCTTGTTTCCTCCAATGCTGCCTAAGAGGGTGTCGCTACGAGTGTGTTTACCGAAGCGTAATCATCCCCACCACTGGCACCAGATGCTGTTTGCAGGGCTCCTGGCCTACATTCTGCCCCACCTTCTTTCCTACCAGCTTGTCAATTGGCCGCTGCTAAACATCAAAATCACTGTTTTGGCTGTATGAAATCTGGCTGTCTAAGAACTTTCCATTCCCATCCTCGATTTTGATATATTCGAGTAGTTAGAGCATATGATGCATGTGTCTCTCCCTCGGCTTAAAACCTGTGACTAAATTATCTACTTCCTCATTCCCACAATCATCGTGTCTCATTCTTTGGGGCTCTGCATCTAATTTAAGTAATAACTGCTGGTGTGAAAATACGCCGCTTCATTTTTTTCCTCGAATCGCGAAAAACACACTCCTCTCGTTTCTCAAGTTGATATTCCCATCTAATCCTAGGGTACTGGGATGATGTCCCCGTGTGTGTCTTGGTTGGTATCCCGCATGGTCAGGCCTGTCATCAGTCGCCTCCCCTTCCGAGGCATATACGAAAATTACACACGACGCACGCACACACACACTGGTGATCTCTCTCTAGTCCACCTCTATCTTTAGCCTCTAATTTCATATCATACATCTTACAGGTGAATCGCCTGGGTAACTTATTGACCAATTCCACGTCTGACTTTTCACTGCAGTCGCCTTTTCTTGACTCAGGAGTCGCTCGCTCCTTGGTGATGACTTTTCCTGTTGTTGAACAGTTGTCGTGGGTTTAAGCGTTTTCTCTTTGATGTATTCGTTGAATCTCCAAGTCTGCTTAGACAGACTGATCCTTCCCTCTTCCAATCTCCTTTTCATCAGGTCTCTTTAAAAGAGGATGCTCACAGCCTCCCTGATCTTCCGTTTCCTGTTATTTTCCCCATGAGGCCAGTCTTTCCGTTGCATTCCAATCAATTGTGTGACCAGTAAGGGCGATGTGATCAGCTATCTCCGACCTTTCCGTATCCTTTTTCTGCACAGTCGCTGGTATTATATGATCCTTGTGCTGATTGGCCTTTTCGTTTCCGATTTATTTTTGTTCACCTTCCTTGCAGTTTATGCTGTAGATTCTGAAGCACTCCATTTTCTTCACTTCTTCATGTTGTGTGGGCGAGCTGGTGAAGAGGGTTGCCCTCTCCTTCAGGATTGTACGAATGTTCCATTTCCCTACTATTGGCTGTAGCTTCCGAGCCAATTCGCAGAAAGGTAGGCATCCACAATTTTTATTCTGTTCCTCTTGTTTTCCTTTCATAGTCTCCGTCCTTCCATCTGTTCATCACCATCCATATGTTGCGTTGTATTGCTTCTTCTGGATATCCGTTTCCAAGAGACATATGATTTATGTTTCCAGTTCCTCTTCTCATAACTCAGAATCATTGAGTCGTAGGCTTCTAATCATACTCCGGAGTATTCCAATCTTCATCCCATAAGTATGGCTCGACTGGAAGTTAAGAGTTATTTCAGCATGTGATTTCTTTTGGAAAAGTGTTTTTTTGAGAGCTTCCTTGGAGCAAATGACTTCCACATCCAAGAACGGCAAGTGTCCGTTCTCTTCCACATCCATGGTAAATAAGACTTTTATTCATTTCGTATATGAAGATCATAAAATCGTTTAATTGTTCTCTTCCATGCGACCAAACTGCGAAGTAGTTATCCAAATATCGCATTATTACTTTCGGCTGCTGGGTCAACATTTGGTAACTCTCCTCCAACTTGTTCATGAATACATTAGCCAGCAAGGATGAGAGCAGTGGGCCAATAGACAGACCAAATACACACTGAAAAACAGGACACTATATAGAATGATCAAAAACCCACCTTTTTCAGGATACAGACTTTATAGCAGGCATGATATTAGAAGGTAATAAAAATTAATATATATACCAACATTCCTAATAAGACAAATGACTGTAGGAAAATACGCGTCTACTAACTCTGGGTATTAACAAGGATAAAGGAGAGGGAATAGAATAATATAATATCATTGACTGGCAAGGGAGACTGATTCTGCATATGATTATCATAGTTCAAATGACTCAAGGTTACCCTAATACATATCATATAATTGATTTACTGGTAGTCCCGAGACCATAATTATGAACGAAGCATAAGTAATGTAGTCAATTGTCATAGCAAATATAGCTTT